GGCACCGCGGGGAGGGTTCTGCGCCCCCCCTCCACCCGCCCCATGCGCGGCCGGGCAGGAAACGGCCCCCCCGGCCCGGTGAGTCACGGCCCGACCGCGGCGATGCCGGAAGGCCCCGGGCGGTACCGGGGGGGGTTCACCCCGCTGCGGGAATGGAGCGAGGGGACCCCGCGCGGGGGGTGGTCACAGGGGCTCTCAGTGGGGCGGGCGGGGACGGCCCCGGGGGTCCCGCACCGCCGGCAGCTCGAAGCGGGGCTCGGTGCGGCCGCCGGGGGTCCCGCCAGAGCGGGGGCTGCAGAGAGTCCCCGCGATGCGCTGCCTCGGGCGGGGGTCCCGCCCGGCGCGGAGCCCAAGGGGGGTCCTGGCAGCGGGGCCCGGGGGGGATGAGGTGTTCGGCCCTGGGGGTCCCGCCCGGGGGAAGCCCAAGCTGGGGAAGCTGCGCAGCAGAAGGTGGGACCGGGCGGCGGGGCCCGGGGGGGATGCGGTGCCCAGCCCCGGGTCCCGCCCGGCGGGGACTTCGAGCGGGATTCGATGTGGTGGGGCCGCAGTCGGACGGGGGTCCCCCCGGGGGTCCCGCCCGGCGGGGAACTCAAGCGGGTCCGCAGCGCAGCAGAGGGGGGGAGTGTCCGCGGCAGTGGGACCCGGGGAGATGCGGGAGGATGATGAGGGGGGATCCTGGGGGACCCCAGGGGTCTCAAGCGGGGTCTGCAGCACGACACAGGTGGGGAACTCGCCAGCGGGGCCAGGGGAGGACGCGGTGCCCGGTCCGGGGGTCCCGCCGGGGGTTGCGGTTCCCGGCCCCGGGGCAGGACGCGGTGCGGGGTCCGGGGGTCGCACCCGGCCCTGCAGAGGGGGGGTTCACCCCGAGCCCTTCCCGCCGCCGCCCCCGCGGGCGATAACGGCGCGGCGGGGCCCCGAGCACCCGCTTACCCAGGCCGGCAGCTCCCCGCGGGCCGCGCCCAGCCCGGCGGCGGCGGCGCGCACCGCCGCCTCCTCGTCGCGCTGCAGGCGCTCGGCCGCGCGCATCCCGCGCTCCCGGGCGCGCCGCCGCCGCCGCCAGCCCGCGTAGAGCGCGAGCGCGAGCACGAGCGCGCCCGCGCCCAGCCCCAGCAGCCCCGCGGCGTAGGCGGGCAGCGCCCACAGCAGCCGCCGGCCCAGCGCGCCCAGCGCCGCCAGCCCCGCGCCGCCGCCGCTCCCGCTCCGCCGCTCCATCCCCGCTCCGCTCCCGCTCCCGGTCCCGCTCCCGGTCCCGGTCCCGCTCTGCCCCCGGCAGCGCCGGGCCACGCCCACGGCACGCGCGCCTCACCCATTGGCTGACCCGGGACAGGACCCGGCCACGCCCCTCGTCCCCCCGCGCCATCCATTGGCCGCCCGCCAACCCCCAGCACCGCCCACTCCGCAGTGGGCGTGACCTCGGGGGAGTCACGTGTGACCCCCGCCACGCCCGTATTTATTAGTGGGCGTGGCTCAGGCGAGGGGCGCGGCCGAGGTCACGTGTCCGCGTCTCCCCCGTACTGAGGGTCCCCCGGCCCTTCCCGGGGGTACCAAACCCCCCCCCGGGGGCCCCGGGACAGCGACCGGGACCGTGTGGTTTGGGGTTTTTTTAATAGCCGAAAATGTTACAGGGCCAGCGCAGCCCCGGTGCCGCCCCTGCCGTGGGACTCAGTCTGGGCACCGGGCAAGGGGGCCGTGTCCGTTCCCGAGGCTCCAGGGGGAGCAGCCACAACCCCCCCGCGCCCCCAAAGAGGTTTCCCCGCACGACGGGTGCCGGACCAAGGTGGGGGTCCCGCACCCACAGCCCCCGTGGGAGCCACCAGCGTCCACAGGCTGTGGAGGGTCCGTGTGTCCGTCCTCCCGCTGCCCCCCGGGCTCAGTTCCACGGGCGGGGGTCAGTGGGGCATGGCCGTTATCCTCATGCTCTGCGAGGCGATGGGGTAGGTCACCATGGGGGTGGTGGCGTGGCTCATGGTGATGCCCCCGAGGGGCTGCGCCATGGACACGGCCACGGGCGCCACCGACACGGCCACGGGCGCCATGGACACGGGGGGGGCCATGCCCTGGGCGATGGTCTGCGCCAGGGCCGCCGACAGCGGCGCGATCTCGGGGTTCATGGGGGGCGCGGCGTTGGCGGGGGGGGCGGCCTGGGCGCCGGCGGGGGCCACCAAATCCTGCTGGGTGACGGGCCGGGGCTGCAGGGCCTGGCTGCTGAGCGTGGTGTGCGTCTGCGCGATGCTGTGGTTATAGTTGGTGACGGTGCCCACGGTGGGCGCCAGAGTCTGCTCGGGGGCCGTGGCCGTGGAGCTCAGCGTCATCACCTTGGCCTGGTTGCGGAACTGCGCGTTCTGCTCCAGCAGCACCTCGTTGGTGGCCAGCAGGTTGTTCACCTGCTTCTTGAGGTCCTCCACGCGCTTGCGCAGCAGGACGTTCTCCTCCTCCAGCAGCCGGTACTCCACGGCCCGGGGGCTGCCGAAGCTGTACTCGTAGGTCTCGTACAGCCCCTCCACCCGCCGCCGCTTCAGCACCGGCTCGTGCTCGTCGTAGCGGTCGGGGTCGTAGAGGAGCCCGTCGAAGGGCTCGAAGCGGCGCCCGGCGGGGCCCAGCCCCTGCTCCCGCCCCCGCGCCTCGTACTCGTAGTCCCGCTGCAGGTGCTGGAACTTGCACTTGGCCCCGCGCTGGCAGTCGCCCTTCAGGAAGTCCCTGCAGATGGGCACCTCCTCCTTGCTGTTGGGCAGGTCGGCGGGCGACAGCCCCAGCCCCGCCGCCACCTTCTGGCGCAGGCGCGGGGGCAGCTCCCCCGTCTTCTTGTAGCAGTCCTCGTCCTCCTTGGTGCCGTGGATGAAGCGGCAGTTGAGGCGCACGCACTCCTTGTTCTGGAAGTCGTGGCAGAAGATGAACTCGTTCTTCCTCACGCCCAGGTTGGTGACCTCGCTGATGTCGGGGTGGCGGAAGCGGCAGCGCTTCCCGCGCTTGCAGACGTTCCGCAGGAAGTCCCGGCAGATGTCGTCGGCGTTGGCACCCACCTCGTCCCCGCCGCCGCCGCCGCCGCTCCCGTTGGTGTAGCCGTCCCGGTCCGGCATCTTCGGGGCAGCTCCGGGTGCTGCGGGGGAGGGACGGGGTGAGGGAGGCACCGGGAGGGAGCCGCGGGAGCCGGCGGAGGGGAACACCCGCCACGGAGCACCGGGAACAGAGAGAGAGAGGGACGGGGTGAGGGAGGCACCGGGAGCGGCTCCGGGACCGGGGGGAATCACCCGCCCCAGGGCACTGGCGCCGCCGCGGAGACGGTGCAGAGGCAGCAGGGCCCGGGAGCTCCCCCACAGCCGCCGGTGCCCTCCGGTGCCCCCCGGGATGTCTCGGGTGTCCCCTCAGCCCCCGCCCGCTCCCAGCGCCACCGCCGCCCCGGAGGGAACCCCGGGCCGCCCCTCACTGCCGCTCCCCGCGGCTGCCGGTGCCACCAGCGTCTCCCGAGTGCCGCCAAGCCCCGGGGTGCGGGGCCCCCGTCCGTGACAGCCCCGCGGGGCGCTCCGGGAGGGACTCGCACGGACACCCGCGCGGCCCGGCGGGGGCGGAGGGACCGGCCCGGCGGAGCGCGCCCTCCCCCCGGGCCCACACTCACCGCTCGCGGCCTCCCCGCGGTGCCTCCGGCGCCAGGAACGCGCGGCCGGTGCCGGCGGCGGGCGGGACCCGCTCGGCGCCGCTTCCGGGGCGGCCCGGAAGGACCCGCGCGGCGGCGCGCCGGAACTACGTCGCCGTGACGTCACTCGCGACAGCCGCCACCGCGCGGGGAGACCCCGGCGTCACCTCCCCAATCCCCAGTCCCGGTGTCATCTGGCCCCGTCACACCCCCCTGAATCCCGGCCCCGGTGTCGCCTCCCGGTCCTGTCACACCATCCCAAACTCCGGTCCCGATGTCACCTCCCGGCCCCGGTGCCCCATCCAGGTCTCGGTGTCACCTGCCCTGCTCCGGCCGCCCCCGGTCCCAGCTCACGGCGTCGGCTGCCAGTCCCGTTACCGGAGGATTCCCCCGTTCCCGGAGGAGCCCCCGGCCCCACCTGCCCTGTTACCGGAGGAGCCCCGGTGCCGGTCACCGGCTCCGTTAAAAGAGGAACCTCGGGCTGCTCCCATCTCTCGTTGCCAGAGAAGCCCCTTCCCGCCGTCCCGGTGGCCCCGTTACCGGGGGCTCCCCGGTCCCAGCCTCCCGGAGCCGCCACACATTGTTCTAATAACCAGCTTTTATTCATAGCACAGCGGCCGTTACAGAGCAGAGAGAACGGGCCCGGCCCAGCGGGACCCCCGCGGCCCCGGGAGGTCACCGGCGTGTCACCAGGGTGTCACCGAGACGGCCCCGGGCCGCGGCCCCAGCGGGGTCAGTCACTTGGACCTCTGCCTCATCTTCCTCCTCTTGCGCTTCAGCCTGGGGACAGAAGGGACAGGGTGGTGGCGTCACCCCCGGGCCCCCCCAGACCACCCTCTGGGGCCCCCCCGAGCCCCCTGGCCCCGGGGGTCCCCCCAGGGGTCCCCACGTACCTGCGCATTCGCTTCTTGCGCCACTGCGGGAGAGAAGGAGGGGCCGTTAGAGCCGGTACGGGGGGGCTGGATCCCGGTGCCCCAGTCCTACACTGTCCCAGTACCCCCAGTGCCGCGCTGGTTTGGCTTTCCCAGTGTCCCCAGTCCCACACCGTCCCAGTGAGGCCTGAGCGGGTCTGAGTCGCAGCCCGGGACCCCCAGACCTCGGAGCCCCCTCCTCAACCTGGGACACGCGCCCCCCCCCTCCATAAGGACCCCGCCTGCACCACAAGTTCTCCCACCCCGCTCCCGGCAAAGACACCCCCGATGGACCCCAACTTCCACAGGGATCTCCCCAGTCCCAGCACAGAGACCCTCCCCCGCCCTCAGAGACACCCCTCCAGGACCCCCCACCCCCTGGAACAACCCCTGGGACACCCCCCAGGGACCCCAAATTCAACAGGGACCTCCTCTCGCGCCTCCACCGCCACCCCACCCAGCAGGACCCCCCAATCCCTGGGACCCCCACCGAGACCCTCGTCCGCTGCACCAGGAGGTGGGACCCCCCTCCCCTGGGACTCCCCCCCCGCCTCAGGAGTGTCCAGGCCGCAGGGTCCCTCCCACCCGCCATCCAGGCTCGGCCATTGCTGAGGCGCCATCGGCCGCCCCCCGCCGCTCACCTTGGCCCTCATGGCGGGGCGGCGGCGGCTCCGCGCTCAGTCCGGGCGGGCGGGGGCGGCGGATGGAGGCGGATGGAGGCGGATGGAGGCGGCGGCCGGGGAAGGCCCCAATATGGCGGCAGTGGCCGAGAGGGGCCCGCGCCGCCCGGTTGGCGGTATTTATAGTGGAGATAGGCCACGCCCACAGCCGCGAGGGGCACGACGGGATCTGTAGTTCCTTGCCCCGAAGCATCGCGGGAGCTGTAGTCCCGCCGCCGGCCGC